GCCGGGGTGAGCGTCCCAGGTGAGCGCTGGCCTGCGGCGATTTTGGCTGGCTCAAGCCTGAGCGATCCCCTTCTCGGGGCCATAGCACAGAGAGGAAGCATCTCTCCCCTCTCCTCCCGCACTCCCTTCCTTCATGAAAGAAAAACCGCTGTTTCTTCCTCCCTGGCTGTTTTATGGCTTTAGAGCCTGTGATCTGAGGGGTTTGGGAAGTCGAAGCGGTGTATAAAACCCGATGGGTGTGACACGGGGACGTGCTGTGTGTGGGTCCCTTGTGGACCGGCGCCGTGCCGCGCCACGCCGCCCGCCTGCCTGCCAGGTTTGGGGGGTGGGTTTGGGCACCATGTCTCCCCACCTTGCTGCCGTTGCCAACCGAGGTCATTTCCAGCTGGGCAGCCTGTTTTCAAAGCCAAATCACTCTCAACCCATGTAAAATCAGCTTGAGCATCATCTTCTGCCTTTGCTGGTGGGATGAGGGTCGCACTGCTCAGCCTCCGTGTCGGAGCGGGCAGACGGGTGGGCCGAGATACACGTGGCATGGTGCCAGCCACACTTCCCCCATCAGCTGGTTTGGGGTCCCAAGGGCTTGGCCACCCTTTTGCGTCACCCTGAGTGGGCAGGGGTGGGTGTAAGAGGCAGAGTAAGAAATGGGGAGGGGGGTTGCCCCCCTTGGTTTGGTTATTTATCACCACCCTGACAAGGGTGTGGGAGCGTGGAGGGCTGCTGCCTGGCAAAGCTACTGTCTTAAGTGCTGCTTGAAGTCAGCCCATGTCCCTGCCCTGGAAGGATGACTTTCCTGCATTTCTTTATTTAAAGTTGGGGAAAATGTGACAACAAATCCACAGAACCGGGCGAGGGCACAGTGCATGCCCGAGGTGCTCCCAGCGCACTGGGAAGCTCGGATGGGGTCTGCGGGAGCTCCATCGGTGCGTGCTGCTGGGATCGGAGGGGTCAGCAGCCCCATCCGTGCTCAAAGACCTGCCAGGCTGCAGGAGATGCTCTCACCTGGGGGATGACCCACAGCTGAAAAGCTTCTCCTTTGTTCTCAGTGTTTCTATTTCCCAGGCACCACCAACACACGGGAAGATGAACTAAATTATCAGGGACACGGAGATGTGAAAGGCTGAACACGTGCTCCCCCGGGGAGCTCCCCAGGGTCATGGCTCGTGCCCTGCAGCAACAGCCCCTAAGCAGCCCATCTCCAGGCTCACAGATGCCGAGCTCCTTCCCTAATTCCCTGCTGTACCAGGCAAAACCCAACAGTTGTGCCACTTCCAGAGCAAAGTCTGAAGGCTGCGGGAGGGCTGGATGCTTTTTAAAAAGCCCCCTTCACTGGGACACACACCGAAGTGAGCGTCTCACAGATGTCACTTCGGGGCAGATGGGCTGATACTGGAGATAAACCGAGGGGCATGGGAAAGTGCCTCCAGCTTCTGCCAGGCCTCTGCCACGCTGCGGGCAAACTCTTCTGGAGGCAGCTGCGTCCGGGAGCGAATGTTTGGCCCCGCTGACCCCAGAGGATCAGCCTGTGTGACCAGCCCAGGTTCTCCCAGTGTCGGGAGCGGGATGGACTTGGTGGCTGGCCCCCAAAAGGGAGCTGCCAGAGGCAGCTGGGGCTTTCAGAAGCG